GCCCAACCTTCCTTCCGAGGAGTGGCTGGTGGGTTTGAACCGCCAGCCTTCTGGTTAGCAGTCAAGTGCTTTAGGCACCACACTACCAGAGCTCCCACAAATAAGATTAGCACTTTTTAAAAATAGTAAGACAACACTGTGAGCAAATTACCCTTATGAACTTTAGAAAAAATAAAAAGGCAAATAAAGCAGTAAAAATTAAAGCAAGGCTAGATACTTTTATAGATAAGGAGTCCTGTCTCATGTAAGAAATCTCTACCTTATACAGCCATATCAGAAAAACTATTAAAATATTAGCAAGGAAATTAATAGAACCCAACAACATCATCTATTCTAAATGTTAAATATTTCAGCAAACAAAAAGATTCTTAATGTTTTACTCTGCTGGCTAGACCAACACTACAGATCCTTTAAAGATAACAAATTACAAGACAATTACAGTAATCTTTCTTAAATGTATACTATCATTTTGTTTCAAAGAGCCATTTTAAGGTTTACTAACTGAAGACTACAAGGTCTACCATCTCCTTCCCTGCTGAGCTTCAGGGTTCATTAAAGTCCTCTCCTTCTTGCTGACTTCAAGACAAATTTTGGAGGCAATGTTGGGGATTCTTTTGGCCAATCTAGAATACTGCTTTGGGCCATTAACTTAAGTCCACTTATGTCCCAAGGTCGGCAGAGCATGGCAGGCTGCTGAGCAACAACACGGCTACATGCAGGGTTCAAGCATGCCATAAGCTAGAGACCATTCCCCAAGGCTTCTGCTTATATACAGGAAGTAGACCACATTCCCTAAGGCAGCAGCTACTCAGCTGCTCACAGTAGATTCCACCATGGAGTTGATTACCAGTCTCATCATGGGGAATACTACATCCAGCTGCCCAGCCACTCAACCAGACCCAGCCAAGCTGACAACAACCTGAACTACCACAATCCTGATGCTGCTTATTAGTCCAGCTGTGAGGATTTTCATTTTCTTTATGTTGAGGTGTAATCTATACTACAGACTATAGTCTTTAATTTCATCATTAAGTGCTTGAAGTCATCTTCACTTTCAGCAAGGAAGGCTGTGTTGTCTGTGTATCACAGGCTGTTAATGAGTGTTCCTTCAATCCTGATGCTAGTTCTTCTTCATATAGTCTTGCTTCTCGGATTATTTGCTCAGCGTACAGATTGAATACGTATTTTGAGAGGATACAACCCTGACATATTCCCTTCCTAATTTTAAACCATGCAGTATCCCTTTGTTCTATTTGAACAACAGTCTCCTGGTCTATGTGCAGGTACCTCATGAACACAATCAAATGCTTTTGCATAATCAATTAAAAACAAGTAAACATCATTCTGCTAATCTTTGCTTTCAGCCAAGACTCATCTGACATCAGCAATGATATCCCTTGTTCCACGTTCTCTTCTGAATCCAGCTTGCATTTCTTGAAGTTCCCTGTCAATATGCTGCAACCACCTTTGAATTATCTTCAGAAAGATTTTACTTGTGTGTGATATTAATGATATTGTTTGATAATCCACATTCTGTGGGATCACCTCTTTCTTGAATGGGTACAAATATGGATCTCTCCCAGTCATTTGGCTTCCAAATTTCTTGGTATAAATGAGTGAATACCTACAGTGCAGCATCTGTTTGCTGAAACATCTCAATGGGTAGTCTGTCGATTCCTGCAGTCTTGTTTTTCACCAATTCCTTCACTGCAGCCTTGACGTCTTCCTTCAGTACCACTGATTCTTGATCATATGCCATCTCCTGAAATGGATGAACATCTTCTTTTTGGTACAATGACTCTGTGTATTCCTTCCATCTTGATGGTTCCTGCATCATTCAATATTTTGCCCATAGAATCTTTCAATATTGCAACCCAAGGCTTGACATTTTTCTTCAATTCTTTCAGCTTGAGAAATGCTGAGCATGTTCTTCCCTTTTGGTTTTCTAACTCCAGGTCTTTACACATTTCATTATAATAATTGACTCTGTTTTCTCAAGCTGCTCTTTGGAATCTTCTGTTCAGCTCTTTTATCTTATCATTTCTTCCATTTGCTTATATCTATCAAAATAACTTCCATAACTTTTCTTTCAAGAAAATTCATTGTAGTTTAGTTTTTCTTCTCTATATTAATCAAATTACCTTAAATTGTTATAGAATGTACTGATTCATTTATCCCTTGACTTACCATTCTTTATGATTAAAAATGAAAGTGCCCTTACTTCTTCAAATTCAGCCATGAATTGCTTCTATGGAATTTAATTTTCCTTTCTCTATTTGACTTCCCCCAGACCACCTCCCATGTAATAGCAACTGATTTTAACAGTGGTGGAGTGAGACTCCCCAGTTCTCCCACCCATATGTGAGATGGGGATGAAATCATCCTATCAGAAAAGAACTCAACAAGCCACAATCCAAACCAAGAGGAATATCCTTTCACCTACATGCTCTCTCATCCAATTATAATTTCCTAGCCTCAAAATGTTTACAGTATCAATTTTTTTTTCTTTTCTGACAAGTATAAAAACCAAAAAAACAAACTCACTGCCATCAAGTTGATTCCAACTCATAGGGTTTCCATTGGGTTTCCAAAGCTGTAAATCTTTACAGAAGCAGACTGCCTCATCTGTCCTCCCCAGAGTGGCTGGTGGATTTCAACCACTGACCTTCTGGTCAGCGGCCAAATGCCTTAACCACTACACCACCAGAGTGCCAAACAAACAAAAAACAACAGGCTTTTTATAAGAAACTTCAACTTTAAGATTCATTAATCAAATCCACTATTAGGTAGAGATACTGTACTCCAAAACCTGTATCTTAAGATGGGAAAAATTCCCAAGGGAACTGGAAGGGACATGAGGCCTGAGGGAATCGAATGAAACAGCAAGAAGGGAACTTTAGTGGAGAACCTTGTAATAGCAAAAGGATCAAAGAGATTGTTTAACAGGCCATTTTAAGGCACGGACAGAATTCTTTTGGAGGAACAGCAATAATTTACCTCTGAATAACAATCTCATGAGTCAAAAATCAGCTACATCTGGAACAGCAGCCAAGAAAGGAAAGAGCAAGAAGGCAAGAACAAAGGAGTGATTTACCTCCGACCTTATAACCTCACCTTTACACAAACACCTACTTATGGAGCTATAGGAAGACAAGAAGGCATCAAAAAGAGGCTGAAGAATAATGTGCAAGAACCCCTAAGAGAGAAAGCAGAGTTCATAACATGAATGGATTGGTTATCAAAGGTAGATTATCAAAATGCTCACTATGTACAGAATTATCAGGATTACTAGAAAAATTGGCTGATATCATTCTACAACTATGATAGGGATTTCCCCACCCTGTGCTTTAAACCAAAAAGGGTCTTCAGTGAATTTTAACACAAACAGCTGCAATCAAGAACATATTATTATTTATTGAAGAGAAGGTTAGAACAAAAAGTACTTTATTTATAAAGCCTGTCATCTAAGATCAGAGGAAGCATTTCATGATCTCAGAATATGGGCTTAATAACATGTGATTTCACAAAGAAAAATTTAATTAAGTTTGAAAAGAAGGTCAAATAAAAATGGAAATATGAACATCTTTTAATTAATTTATTAAAACCCTAGCAACAGTGATCTGTGTCTCTTCCTTTCCCTTCACTTTCCACAGCTCGTCAATAAGCCCTGCTCACTGTCCCCTTTACGAACTGTTTGGCATCTGCCCTTCTTTTTCCACCCTAGTTATCTCATGCCTGGGATTGTTACAACAGCTGTCTCTTAACTGGTTTCCCAGCCTCCAGTTTCCTTTCTAGTCTGCCTCACACTGCCACTAGATATGATTTCCTAAAGTTTTTTCCTTCATGAAGTTACCCACACTGAAATATCTGGCCCTCTACTGCCAACAGGATAATCTAAACTCGTTAGTCAGAGAACCAGAACACTCTGCAATTTGGCCCCAACCTACCTTTCTCTCACTATATTGCTGTCATGATAGGTCTCACTGTACTCTAAACCACTATGTTCATCACCATCATTCTGAAGTTGGCCACATTATTCCCATTCCTTGAAAAGCCTTCCCATGTCCCCTCTACCCTTCCTTCAATTTTCAGTTTGAGTCTAATATTCTCTCAGAAACTTTCTGACGCAGAATCATACCTTCTTCACTCTAAGATGCTCAGAAGACTAAATGAGTATCTGGCACATTATAAATCCTCCACAAATATCAACTATTACTATTGCCCTCTTTATATTTTTCATTTGCTTGATACTTATCACATACTGCTAATCAATATTTTAAATAACATGGCATAATATTTTACTTTTGCAACCTACACTCTCTAAAGACATATATGTTTTATGAGTTGAACATGTACCTGAGGTAGATACACTCCTTGGAGAGAACAATCATGGGAGAATAGAAAGGCTATGTATGCACAGGGAGACAGCTCAGGGGGCAGGAGTGCATGGAGGGATGGACACAGGG